AGCAGGTCAGCCCCAGCTGCCCCATCCCACATTGGCCCCGGGTCCCCTTGCAGCCACTGCCCCCTGCCAGCCCCCCTGCACTCCCCAGGGGGCCAGCCCAGCCCCACACAGCTTGGCCACTCTGCAGCCACACCAAGCCCTTCCCTGCCGAGGGTGAGCGAGAGACCACAGTGTGCCCACCCCCAGGCTGCCATGAATGGGGCTCCCAGCACAACCCTGGGCTGTGCACTGGGCAGGGTGCAGAGGACAGCAGCGTCTCCTGGCAGCCCTGCCCCGCAGACCCTGCCTCTCCATGCAGCACAAGCCAGCAGCGAGACATGGCTTCCTGTGGGACAGCACCTGGAGGTCCTGTGCCCACATCCCCTGCTGCTCCACAACCACTGTGGTGCACCCATGCAGGTGCCCTGCTGCCGAGGCAGAGAACAGCTCTGCTCCAGCGCAGGCACACTGGTGCCCAAAGCCTAGCATGGACTCAGGCATGCTTTCCCAGCAGTACAAGCAAGGCAGGGAGCTCATGAAATGATCCAGTAACACAAGGGCCTGTGTCAGGCAGGGAGGTGGTGCTAGTGTCGGTGCACAGCCCACAGAAGGGAAGCAAGTGCTTCTATTTTAACACATGCAGAACTGAAAGTGCCTCGCACGCACCCTGTCAGCAGCCCTGTCCCAGCAGCAGGGTCCCCTACGGGCTGTGTGGGGGATGCACCCTCAGTGCTAGCCCCAGGTAGCAAGGATCCTCCTCCAGGGAAGGCCCACACAAACCAGAGGCTCACAGATGCCCTGCAAGAGCTGCTTCAGCAGATCCTGCACTGTCTCACACGGGTCTGTACTTGGACAGGAGCTGGAAGCTGTTTCTCAAGGGCACATGGGATGGGCTTGCAGCAGTGTAAGTCTTGCAGAAGCCAAGCTGTCACTGTTTCAGTTTAAAACCTGACACATGAGCTTCTTAACAAGACACGAGACACAAAAAGAGGCACTGGGCCCTCTTGTTTGGCTCCTAAACAGAATGGGGACTGCTAAAACTCAGTGTCCTTAGAGCCAACAGCAGCAGCTCCTGCTCAGGTAAGCATGGAACGCAGCAGGTTCCAGCCTGGGTTCTCAAGGGCCGCCTGATCCCAGCTCCCTTTAGGGCTTCATTTGGCTGCACTCTCCTTCGTCTTCCAAAGAACAAGAAATTCTGAACTCCAAACCTCTCTGGCCTCGCTCCCACGCTGCTGACCCTCCAAGCAGCAACAGCCAACCTGACACAAAATCACACCGTCCATGCGGGTGACCAGAAACCACAACTGAGGGCCTTCAGCTTTCTGCAGAGGCCACACGTGGCTCCTGTGCCTCTTGCTCCAGGCCAGGCCTCTCCAGACCACACGCCATCCTTGCAGCCTCCTGCTCACCACTTCCTAAGCCCTCTGCTTGCTCCTGGACCTCAAGCACACAACTGACCACCACTGTGTGAAGGACGGCACAAGCACACCCCTGCTCTGAGCAGACATTCCCCTGCCTCACCCCACACCACACCACTTTGAAGGCATGGGCTGTGTCCCCAGCTCAGCCTCAGGCCATTTCCAGAACAAAGACTGCAGCACTGCCTGTACCAGGCACATAGGCATGGACATGGAGACATTTCCAAGACCAGATAGTGCCTCTTGGCCTGGTCAGCAGGACACCCGGTCAGCGGGGTGTCATTTACCCTGCAAACACCTATGCTCTTGTGGGAAGAACCTGGGATCAGGAGCTGCGCAGCCAGAATCGGTCAGAGCACAGCCCAGAGCTCTGTAAGCATCTATTAGGAGGAAGAGCAGGGAATCAGGCAGGATGAGGTCTGGACAACCACACTTAAAGGCCACTGCTGTCCAAACTGGGACACCCCTGCTGACCCTGGCTGCAGGGGGAGGCTGCAGAGCTGCAACTGGGGCATAGGCACTGGGTGGGGGGTTCCAGCAGCAGGAGGGAGTAAGCCCCAGGGCTGGGCACTGGCCACTGACACCCAGAGCTAGGCAGGTCCCAGAGCTGGGCACCGGCAATGCTCTTGAGGCTCTGCTTCCGTCACTGCTGCAGCAGGAAAGGCAGCAGTGGGTGAGACAAGAGGAAATGATGCTCCTCAGCCATCACCAGCTGGTCCCGGAGTGGGGGGGCTGTGAGGACAAGCTCCGAGACAGTGAAAAGCCCCACCTGGAATGGTGCTGCAAGCAAGAATTACTGACAGCGTGCTGAGGAGTCCTGCAAGCCACCTGCCTCCTGGCATGGTGGGAGCTATGGGGAGGGGACCAGAGCCTCAACGACAGTGCTCTGACCCCTGCGACCACTCAGGGATGCTCTGGGGCATCTCTCCCTTCAGTGCTATCCCCCTCCCGCTGGGTAGGAAGGGGTCACCGCCTCCCCCCGGGGGCCCGCGGCTCGCTGCCCCACCCGGGGCCGTCTTGGCTGAGGGCCCCTAGGTCTCCCCGAGGCTCACCGGGAAGGCGATCTCACACAGCTTCGCCACCCACTCCTCGCTCTGCTGCTTGTCAGCTGCGAAAAGGTAGCTCCTGTCGCTGGTTTCCAGGCGAAACACGGCGGTGCTGGCGCGGGGGCCGCTCTCGGGCACGGGCCCCACGCTGGTGCAGTCCGCCAGCCGCACCACCGTCTTGTCCAGCCGCCCGGTTCCCAGCCGCTCCGGCGGCACCGGATCTTTGCAGTCGAAGAACTCCAGGCGGGCGACGCCGTGTTGGCTGGCCGGGTAGAGCACGAGCCAGCTCCGCTTCCACTTCTGCAAGGCAGCGGGGTCACACAGGGCCCGAGCCGGGCGCCAGCGAGGGCGCCCGGGATGCTCGGCCGGGCCGGCAGCTCACCGGGAGCGGCTCCGCGGCGGCGGCGAGCGGCCCCGACCGCACCCAGACGGCGCCGGCGGGAGCCGAGCCTCGGCGGGGAGGGTGCAGCCGCCGGAACCCTCGGCCCAGGCGGGCGGGGGGCCCGCAGAGCCCCGGCCCCGCTTCCCCCGTCGCCGGGCAGCGCTCTCGGCCCGGTAGGAGGGCGACCGCAGGCAGCAGGGCAGGGACCTCCCCCGGCCCCGGCCTGACCGCACCCCGGTGCCGTCCCCCCACCAGCCGGACCCGCGGGGAGAGGAAGGAACGTGCGACGGGGCCCACCTTGGTGCCGAACTTGTGGCTGTGCTGCACCAGCAGCGGCCCCTCCTTGGCCGGCGGGTCCATCCCGCGCCGCTCCGCGCCGCTGACCGCGCTTCCGCCCGCCGCCAACGGCGCCGGGCCGGGGCGGGGGCGCGCTGCAGACGCACGCGGCGGGGGGAGGGAGTGCGTGCGTGCGTGCGTGCGTGCGTGCGTACGTACGTAGGGCGAGCTGTGCACGTGCTCTGCGCGCCGGGCGCCGGTAGCGCTCAGCCGGTACCGAGCGGGGTCCGTGCATGGTCCTTCGGGAGCCCGGGTGCTTCCCGTGGACCCGGCAGCTGCGGCCCCGGCTCTCGGCTCGGGGCTGGCCCTACCGGAGCCCCGCTACCCGGCCCTGCACGGCACCGCCTGCGGCCGAGGCGTGCGGAGCGCCATGGGCTCGGGATGAGCCCGGGAGCGGGATCGTCCCACCCGGAGTCACCTCCACTGGGACGGAGCCGTGGCAGCACAGCCAGCGGCCGACCGTCCCTGGCAGGGGTGGGGAGGGAGCTGCCTCCTGCTGCTGCCGGCTCCCCTCTGCCGTGTCCTCATCCCACGGGAGAGATCTCGGCTCCAGACCTGTTGAGGACGTGTCCCACGCCTGGGGAGCCCGGGGAGGAGATGGAGCCTTGGCCCTACCCCTGCCACCCTCCCCAGGCGTCAGGGCCTTCCCTCCTGGCAGCTTTGCCATCTCTGGCGGCAGCTGAGGTCAAGCTCAGCGCGGACACTGAGCCGCAGCCTGTGACCAGGGCGTGCAGAGCACCCCGGGAGGTGGGTGTCCGGCACCCCGGGACAGCACGGTCCTTGCCCCACGTACTGGCAATTACACAAGTGCTGCAGGGAATGAAGGGCTGCAAGGAGAGGCCTTTGTAGACGTCTAAAATGATCTGAGCAGTGTGACACCATGGCAGGTCACCTGGGAAATAAGAGGGATAAAACCTGTCCTGCCCCACTCCATGAAAGACTCTCCTGCTTGTTGCCAGACACCCTCTGGGGTGGGGAAGGCTTCAGGGGTGCTGCAGGGCACGGCTCCATCTGACACCAAAACTGACAAACAGGAAAAGTGGTCAGGAAAGGAGCAGACCGATGCAGTGACGTCAGACACGGGCCTGTGTGTAGGCAGGTACTGCACAGAGGTCTCTGCGGCTGCAGGACAGGGAACTAATGACGCGGCAGCACTTCTGCAAGCCGCAACCTTTGGGACAGACATCATGAGCCAGATGTCCCAACAGCTCAGAGCGGTGCAGAACAGCTCCAGGACCTGGGGCTATTCGGTCTTGGGAAGCTGCAAAGGCGGAAGAAATAAATGCCCTCGGCCGGTACCGGGAGCAAATCGGCATCTGGGGATATGGGGGACAAGGTGTCGGGGTGTCGGGGACATCGGGCTGGGCCCTGGTGCCAGTGGGCGGTGGTTGCTGCAACCCTCCCGTGCAGCACGGGGTTGGGCTCGGGACTAGGCACCCACCGGGGGGTGGCTCCGGCATCTCCTCCCGGGGCGATCTCCGGATCGGGCTGAACCGCCGGGGCCACTGCGGGGCCGTTTTGCCCGGGGGTTACGCGGGATCCCTCGCCCCGCCTCGCTCCGCCGGGGCCGCCCCTTGCGCTGCGGAGGGCGCGTCTCCGCGGGGGGAGGGCAGGCGGTGGGGCTGTCCCTCCGCGCACCCCCATCGCTCCCTCCGCCCTTCCCTCCGCGCATCCCTCTGTTCCTCAGTGCATCCCTCTGTTCCTCAGTGCATCCCTCTTTTCTTCCGCGCATCCCTCCACTTCTAACCGCGTCCCTCCGCGCATCCGTCTGTTCCTCCGCGCATCCCTCCATCTCCCCGTACATCCCTCCCCGCATCCCCCCGCACCTCCTGCCCGCTTATGGCGGGGCGGCCGCGCTTCCTCTGCGGCGTTGTGGAAGGTAGGTCCGGTCTCTCCGGGGCCCCATCCGGGCATTGCAGGGGCTGGCCAAGTCACCTGGGGCGAACCGGGGCCCGGAAGGGCTCGTAGGGAGGCAGCACAGGACCAGGCCTCTGCCCCGGGGTACAGGACCAGCACCCCCGACTCTTCCCAGAGCACTGCTGCACCCTGCAGCAAGCACCGAACAGCCGACCCGCATCGCCCCGCGATGGGGATCCTCGGCTCTGCCCCCAGCTCCCTGCGATGGGTTTTTCTCTGCCCTGGGTGTGCGGCAGCAGCATCCTCCTGTGAGCCCCTGCTGCCCCCGCTGCCCGCAGTGCAGCACTGCTTGGGCCATGCCCAGGGCTGGCCCGGAAAAGCCGGGGCTCTCTGTATGGGTCAGCCTGCTTCCCAGTGCCCAATTCCTGTTTTTACAGCAGCTCTGGGGCCAGTCCTGGCACCCACTGGGCAAAAGCATCTCTGCTTTCCCTGGCAGCACAGTGCACTGCTGAAGCCACTGCCTGTCCTGGGAGGAACCAAAAAGCACCACGCAAATAAACGCAAAATAAGTAAAAAGTGCAGGGATGGGGAAGTTGATAGTAAAAAGAAATGTCAGACAAGAATCATTGACATAGAAAGCTGACCTGGGAAAGAGAAGGACACATGCTGCCAGTAGAGCTGCTCCAGGAGGAGGAGGTCCCTGGGCACTGAGGAAGGTCCGGCATCCCTATCCCGGTAGCACAGGGCCTGGCAGGGGCAGCTGTAGTAGGGCCAAGCCAGGCCAGGAGTGATGAGTCTTATGCAGAGCTCCCTGCTCCCTTCTGGCACCCGGACACGGGGAGCAGGAGCCAGAGAACAGACTGGTGCTTCTGTGTGACCTGCACCCAGTACAGGAGCAGGGCTGGGAATGGTTGAGTCTGCTTCCCAATGTGTTCAGCAGGAATTTGCCGATAGTTATGCAGAAAGTGCTGAGGGACATCCCAGAGTTTGGCAAGTGATGGCATTGGCAGGTTGTAGTGACCCGGGCCATGGAAGAGCTGAGGTCCCAGTGCACAGCATCACCCAGCAGCGCTCGGCTGCCTTTGGCAAAGCAGAGCACCAGCATCACCCCTCTGGAGGTGCAGCCACGGATACAAAGAGTTTTTGCTGGTAGAGCTTCAGTCACTTTTCTGAGCAGAATGCACTGGGATGGTGTTTCCACAGAGCTGCTGCTGGCAAGACACGTGTTGGGGTGAGCAGCGTATGTGTGACTTGTGCCAGGTCACAGCCAAGGGCAGGCAAGGCATGTGCAGGCAGGTGCTGTACAGGGACTCCTGGGGCCGAGCAGGAGTTTCTATGGATTGGGAAGTGGAAAATCTATTTATCATGGAAATACCTTTTCAGGGTGAAATGTTTGCAGAATCCTTGAGTGGCCACAGGGGGGTGGGTGGGGAGGTGATGGGATCACCGTGTAGGTGTTCACTCAGGTAGATCTCTCTGCAAAGGGGGTAATGTTCGGTGTGTGCTGTGGCACCACCAACCACAGCACTGGCCAAGGTTGGGGTTGGGGGCTTCAGGGTGGGTTTCCGCCAAAGGGAGCAGGGCATGGGGGTCCTCTCGCAGGCCGACCCGTCTCGGTGCACTCAGGAACCTCGGGGAAATGGGATGTTTTCTGGGGAATGCTGCTTCATGCCGGATGCTGGGAGCTGGATCTTTCTCCCAGACCAGCAGAGTCATTGGGATGTGCCCTTGTGTGCCCCTCAGTCCTGGGAATGCATTCATTCCCCTGAGTATCTGCTCCTCTCAGAAAGTGTATTGATCGATTTAGAAGCTGCCCATCTGAAACTGGGAAGCTGCCTTGATGGTTCGTTGCCATCACGGTTCAAGGGGTGTCTTCTGTGAGACTTCACACTGCAGCTGCCAGACCTTGCAGAGACAAAGTGATGGAAGACTCTTCTTTTGCTGAAGTTCAGGTCTGTTCTGGGCCACTTAACGGTTCCCCTTAACCTCTTCTTGTTGAAGCTGTCAAATCTGCCTCTTTCCAACCCAGTTACCTGCCTGTCCTTCCACTGTCCCCAGGTGAACTGGCTTGCTTTCCACTGGGTATTCTCTGCACCTCCCAGGTCTTCCTTCATGCAGGAATAAGGAGGGTCCCTCCTCAAAAGCATTCCCAACAGGGGAGTGGGTGCTGCGTGTCCAGCAGTGCCCCTGCTCACTGTGTCCCGCCATAGACAGTTCCCTGCCATGCAGAGCATAGGGCGGCCCATCCGCTGCTGTGGTGCTGCAGTTTGGGTCACACACTGGTGCTCAGCAGCCACCTAAAGCAGCAGCACAAGTGGAAATCTGAAGAAACACTTGAGAATTTGCTGACTCCAGATCTGCATTTCCTGCATTTGATTTTGTTGATGTGAACTTTCTGGAAGGGCAATGTCCTTTGGGCCAGCCTGGGCGCTCTTTGCTGAGTGTCTTTGGTAGCAGACAGCTGGCGTGGTTGCTCCCCGTTGTGCTTTCCCTCTCTGGGCTGTTCCTGTGTAAGCTTATGGGGGATGGTGTTTTCCAGTGGGGGACAGACAAGGTGTCTGAACAGTCTCATGCAGCCCCAGCCCCTGCGGGCAGCCCTTCAGGCTGTTTGTGTGCCCTGAGCTGAGCAGCTCTGCCACGGGCCAGGGACACTGCCCCAGGGCCCTGCCCTGCTGTGCTGCAGGGTCCTGGGTGCAGGGTGTGGGGGAACTGCATCAGTGCGGTCTTGCTGCAGTTTGAGTTGTGTGGTGGTTAAAGACAGGGCGAGCAGCTCGTACAGCGCACGCAGGAGCAGTGATGCTCTGCTTGACCCAGCTCACACAGACACAGCGAGACGCAGAGGGCAGCAGAGCTGGTCTCTGTAAAGAGAAAATCCGCAGGCAGCAACCTGTGGGATGGCTGTACCACACCTCTGCCCCGGTGAACCCCACACCCAAGCCAGCCCGCAGCCATCTCCTCTAGGCCTGGCTTTTACTGTGCAGATTCCCCATGCTGGGTTAAGTGCTACCCTGTGCAATCCTTCCCAGCTGTCTCCCTCTGGGAAGGATGGAAGCACAGACATTACACCCGCTTCCTCGAGTACCAGCGCCCAGAAAGATCATAGCTCGGTAACAGACGTTTGAAGTGCTCAGCGGTGAACAATGGGGGGATCTCTGGATTAACAGCAGCCACTTGGGGATGGTACAGAGAGAGGCTGTTCTAAGGCAGTTACTGACAACTGCATTTTGGCTTTTCCCTCTCCCCACCCCCTTTTACAGGCTTCTACGGGAGACCATGGTCTATGGAGCAAAGGAAACTCCTCTTTGAATGGCAAGTACCCTGCATTTTCCTCTCTGAAGGTACTAGCCTGTGGCAGAGGGACAAGGTGGAAGCAGAGCGCAGTGGAGGCAGGAGCAAAGGAAAACATGCTGGTGGGAGACTCCTGGGGCTGACCTGCCTTTGGGAAACCAGGGCAATGCTGGTGAAAGGGCCCACGCTTCTCCTAGGGCAGCTCCTGCAGTGTCCCCTATCCCATCCCACCCCATCCCAGCGCTCTGGCACCCCGAGATGCAGCCCAGGGAAAAGCTGCCCGGCCCTGGGCTGGGTGTAGAGGCTGCGGATGGATGGGCAGACCAGGGACAGCCCAGGGACAGCCGGACAGACGTGGCTGTGCTGCCGGCAGATGATGCTGGGGCTCTGCCACAGCCCAGCTGCAGCCAGATGTGCCTGGCCGGGGTCTGGGCACCACAAGGGAAGAGGGTCTGGGGTCCGGGAGGGGCTGAGTGGGCACTAGCCCCCGTGTGCTGGCACCCATTGCTGGCACGGGTGCTGCAGTGAGGGTGCAGACCCACGGGGAGCTGCAAGTGAGGCAGGGCTGGGGAGGAGTGATGGCAGCCGGGGAGGGTTTGGAGAGGAGCAGGAATGTGCCTTGGGAAGCACCAGCAAAGCTGCTCTGTGCTGCTGCATCGTGGTGAGGGTCGGCTGGGGCAGGAGGGGGCTGCGGAGCTGGGGGGGGAGCTGCAAATGGGAAGTCTGAGCCATATGAGGGTGAACGCGGGGTGTTCAGCGGTGCTGACCTGACAGGATGAGCCCTCATCTTCTCCCCTCTGAGCTGTGTGGGCCTGGGCAGAGCCATGTGGCAACAGCCCCCGTGGGTGCCTGGCTGCAGGATGCGCCGCGTGACCACTGCCACCAGCAGCGAGTGACCAGCTCCCCCTGGCCAGGGCCACGGTCCTGGAGCCAGGCTCATCCCTGTGGAAACAGGGCACAGGAAACCCACATCACTCCACTGTGACTCCATCACTTTATCCTGAGGCTGCCATTCCTGCCTGGCTGGAGGTGGCCCTTGTGTCCCTGTGAGTCCCCATGTATGTCTGTGTGTCACCACGTGTCCCTGTGACAGGAGGATGTGGACTGTGTGCTGGTCACTGCACGGGCAGTGCACTGGAGACAGCAGGGCCGTGTGCTGGTCACTGCAGGGGCAGTGCACTGGGGACAGCGGGGCCGTGTGCTGGTCACTGCAGGGGCAGTGCACTGGGGACAGCGGGGCCGTGTGCTGGTCACTGCAGGGGCAGTGCACTGGGGACAGCGGGGCCGTGTGCTGGTCACTGCAGGGGCAGTGCACTGGGGACAGCGGGGCTGTGTGCTGGTCACTGTGCTGATGATGGCACTGGTAGCCTTGCACTGCATGGGGAATGTGCCGCTCATGCTGCGAGAGTGCCCTGGTGACAGTGGGGAGCTGCAAGCACAGGGAAAGAGCAGAGGTGCAGAAAAACATAGCTTAGAAAACAAGGGGCAGTGGTTTCTGTGGTGTTTGGAAGCACACGAGGAATGAGCCCGTCTGGTGATGATGGCCTGGTCTGGTACCCGACGGGGATCTATGTTCTCGTGTTTGTAAACATCAGCGGTGTGTTCATCAGTGGTATTCTTCCCTGGAAAGAAACAAGCTGAGGCACTTGTACCACATGGCCCATGGAGCGCTTCCAGTCTGCTCCTCGTGGGAAAATGGAAAATATCATCTCCTAGGGCGGATAAATACAAACAAATGAGTACCTCAGATGGCTTTCCCAGTGCCAGCAGAGCTGTCCAGGGAGGTGTCTGCCCCATTCAGGTAATTCCCAGTGAGTCTTAGATTGCTGGGGAGACTCTGGAAGGGATTTGTGCTTTCTGAAGCCAGCAAGGGCCTGGTGATAGTGCAGCTGGATCTCCTGAAGCAGGCAGGCTCTAATCTCTCTCAGATCTGCTTCCCTTCAGCTCTGACTGCAGTGCAGCTTCGGGAGAGCTGGAGACCTTTCCTCTCCCATCTCATGGAATGTGTCCCCTTAAGGGTCTCCCTGCACCCCTCCATATCCTGACTCCTGTGTGAGGGTTTTCCCCAGGGAGATGAGCACACTGGGCTCCAAGACTTGCTCAGAGGCTTCCTCCTATGTCTGTGTGTGGGGCTTCTTGTCTGACTCACACAAGTTTATCAGTGTCCTTCCCATGCTGTGGCCATTGCTCTGGCAGCATCTGCAGCCAGCACAGGGCCCACTGAACCTCTCCCGTCCCGCTGCACACTCTGCAGTGATTCATCTGGGGCTGTCTTCTGCTGAGCTCCCAGTGGCATTGCTGAGGACAGTCATGTTCAACTGACCTCTCCTTATGCTGGCACTTCAGACACCCTGCCTTCTGTCTTCTTTCACCTAGGCAGGACTTTATGCTCGGCTGCATTAAGAAGCATACTGCTTGCTGAAGCACAGCTGAACAGCTATCTCCCAGCACCCCCAGTGCTGTGTTTCCTCCTTTATTCTCCACTTACTTGGTCTCCACTGCCTGCAAACGGCACAGTTGCAGCATCCGGCCGTGGTTCACTCCTGTCTTGCTTTGCTCCCTGCGCAGCCCAAGCTCTTCATCAGCACTCGCCCTGCTTCAAAGAGCTCTGGGGCTCTTTGGCAGCGCTCCTGCAGTGCCAAAGGGCTCCTCTGGCTGGCCTTGTGATGTCTGGATCAGCGCTGCTGTGACCCCCTTAGTGGGGGCCGGGGTTTAGATGTGCCCAGAGGATTCCTGCTGGTCCCTGCAGGGAGCTGCAGGGTTTGTGCAGGGCTGAAGCGGGAGCTGGAGCTGTCCTGGAGGAGCAGAACATGAGGTCGGGTCCAAATACACTGTGCTGTTAGATGGGCAGGAGGGTAACTGGGTACCTCCAGCCCCTGAGCCTCCTGGCTTGGAGAATGAAGAAGCTGGTGCAGGATTCAACCTATAGGAAGCACAGGAAGGGGCAGTGTGTAAGCAGTGCATGTCAGTGCTCGTGGATGAGGAGTTGGTGGTTGGCAGCACCAAAGAGTTGCAGTCCCTGGCTCAAGATGCAAATGGAAACCAGTAACAAGTGGTGTCCCATAGGGGTCCCTATTGGGACCAATGCTATTTAATACCTTCACCACTGATGTAGTGGGATCAGGCACCCTCAGTGAGTTTGCAGAGGTCACCAAGCTGAATGGTGCAGTTACCTCCTGGAGAAAGGGAATGGGATCCAGAGGGACCTGGGCAGCCTGGAGAGGTAGGATCATGAAAATCTCATGAAGTTCAACAAGGTCAAGTGCAAGGTCAGGTCAGTCCCAATATCAACACAGGCTGCGGGATGCAGGGGTTGAGAGCAGCCTGGGGAGAAGGACTTGGGGGTGTTGGGTGAGGAGCAGCTCCCATGACCCATTTCAGTGTGAGCTTGCGCCCAGAACCCCCCCATGTGCTGGGCTGCACCCCCAGAGCGTGAGCAGCAGCTCAGGGAGGGGATTCTCCCCCTCTGCGCCCTGCTGTGCTCTGGGGAGAACCCCCCTGCAGTCCTGATCCAGCTCTGGGGCAGCAGCACAAGCCCTGGCAGAGCTGCTGCAAATTGCAGGGCTGGTTTGTCCTGATGGAGCCCCCCAGCAGGACCGCAGGGCTGGGGCCGCCTGCAGCTATCAGCTGTGTGGAGCAGCAGACCAGAAGCTGCTCTTCTGTGTTCCCCAAGGATCTCCCCCTTCCTCCCCTGGGAGGCTGGGCTAGCCCCTCACCCTCCTCCATTGCTTGGGCTTTTTATCACCACAGGACTTTGTGGAGCAGTTGGAACAGGCTGTTCAGGTTAAGTTGGTCCTTCCCACCCACCTTTTCCGCAGCAAGGTTGTTCACCCCTCTCCAGAGAGGCAGCATCCTCCTGATCCCCAAGACCTTCTCATCTGGAGGTCCCTAACCACCACCACCACCAATGGCTGGCCTTAGCACCGGGAGCACTGGTTTATGTCTTCATGTCCAACGCGTGCATGCAGGGCTCCCGGAGCCAGGCAGGGCTGGAAGCCTGCAGGACATGGGGCAGGTCTGGGGCAGGAGGGGGCACCGTGTGCGGAGCAGCTCTTGCTGACCCCGGTCCTTGCTGCACAGGCTGAGGCGCCGGGGGCTGAACTGCTACATGTACGCGCCCAAGGACGAGCTGAAGCACCGGCTGCTCTGGAGAGAGCCCTACACGGAGCATGAGGCAGGTACCGGCTCTGCGGGCCCCGTGCGAGCGGGCTGCTGCCGTCCCGGTTCCTCGGGGGAAGCGAGGGCTGCGGTTCAGCTGGGGCAGGCTGAGGTTACCGCTTCAGCCCACTTCAGGGAGCCCAAGCGCAAGGGGACCCCCAGATCCTGCCCGGCGCAAGGAGCCTTCCCAGCCCCTGCCCATCAGGAATCGCTTGGAACCCCCAGCATGGGGAGCTCCTCACGTGGGTCTCTCACAATGTGCTCAAATACACCGGGGCCCAGATCCTTGTGGAAAGCCCTCTGTGTCCCAAGGGACTGGGACTCGATCTCCTGGGCTCCTGCCCCTGGATGCTCTTGTATCTCCTGTTGCTCTCAACTCCTTCCTGGAGTCACTGGTTTCCTCTCCCTCCACCCCTTGTCTCTCTCCACCCCTTGTCTCTCCCCACCCCTAATCTCCCTCCACCCCTCGCCTCCCACCACTCACAGCCCGTTCTCTGTCCCTAGCCCACATGCGTTCTCTTATCGAGGCTGCCCAAGAGCAGGATGTGCAGTTTGTGTTCGCCATCTCTGCTGGCCAGGACATGGTGTTTTCAAGTGCTGGGGATCGGCTCCTGCTGCAGCAAAAACTCAGGCAGGTACCGTGGGCCATTCCTTCATCCTCCTGCTCTCAGGCGAGGGGCATAGTGCCTGTGTGGGGCTGTGCTGCTGCTGCTGCTGCTGGCCAGTGCAGGCCGGTGCTGAGTCCCAGTCCCCAGGAGGGTAAAGAGCTGCTGGCACAGGGGGTTTGCTCCATGGCATGGGCGGCTCTGCCCAGACCATCCCCACGGGTACCCCAGACCTCACTGTCCTCAGTGGCACGGGGGTTGTCAGGGACTCGCTGCAGCACAGGGGTCCAACAGCAGCCCATGTCCATGCCCGTGCCTGCAGGTGGCTGCCATGGGGTGCCAGGCCTTTGCACTGCTCTTCGACGACATCGACCCCTGCATGTGCCAAGCTGACAGAGATGCCTTCCCCTCCCTGGCGCAGGCTCAGGCCTCTGTGGCCAACGAGGTGTACCAGGAGCTGGGCCAGCCCCCCGTCTTCCTCTTCTGCCCTACAGGTACTGCCTGCAGCCCCCGGTGCCCAGCCAGCTGAGGCACCCTCGGCAGAGCAGGGTGCCTTTGGCTGCCTTCACCCATGTGTGCTAAGAGCTGACTGCCCCGACAGCTCCCACAGCTCCCCCCGCAGCCCTCATGCTCTTGAGGGAGCCCTGGAGATCCAGTACTAGGGCAGGACAAGGCTGCAGACAGGCTGGTGCTCCAGCACCCTTGGATGCGGCACCCCCTGCACAGCACATCTCCCCAGCCCCTGCCACTGAGCCCTGGCAGCTCATCCTCTCCCGGTCTCTGCCCTTCAGAGGGTGCTCTGTGCTCTCTCCATAGAGTACTGCAGCTCCCTGTGCTCTCCCAGCCCCAGCCAGTCCTCCTACCTGCTGACCATCGGCCGGGAGCTGCTCCCAGGGATCGGTGTCATCTGGACCGGTGAGCCCCCAGCCCGGCAATGTGCGCTCTGTGGCCCCGTGCAGCTGCTCAGCGAGAGCCCGGTCTGTGAACCCTGCAGGCACGGGCTCCCTCCCGGGAGAGGCAGCAGCAAACAAAGAGCCCCATCGCGGAGCCTCCCAGCTGCGGGGCGTGCAGCCCCGGCCGGGCAGGCAGCGGCTCGGGCTGTGGGTGTCCTGGCTGCGGGGGTGAGCAGGGGTGACTCGACCCTCACCCCCCTGCTCAGCACCCAGCTGTGTGCGTGTCCCTGCTGTGAGCGTGCCCACGCCTGTGCTGTGCTGCTCCAGGGCCCAAGGTGGTGTCACAGGAGCTCTCAGCCGTGCTGCTGGAGGAGGTGGAGGGTGTCCTGCGGCGCCGGCCCGTCATCTGGGACAACCTGTATGCCAATGACTACGACTGCAGACGTGTCTTCCTGGGCCCCTACACGGGACGTGCCCCCGGCCTCATGGCCAGGCTCCACGGGCTGCTCCTCAACCCCAACTGCGAGCTCCAGGCCAACTTCATCCCCATACATACGCTGGGCAGCTGGTTTCGGAGTGAGCTGGGGAGCTGTGCCCACCCTGACCACACAGGTACCTGGTCTCAGCACCCCAGGCAGCTCTGAACGTGGGGTCTCGGTACGGGCAGCAAGCTCGTGCAGCCAGGGCACAGCCATGGGTCTCTGCCATGGTCCTGCAGGCTCCCCTGCAGTCAGCCTGGGTGAGCTGCTCACCTGGCTGGGCACATCCCAGGGCTCGGGATCCCTCCGGGGCCATCTCCTTGCAGGGGGCTGCCTGCCCTCAGCATGCCATGGGGTAGCTCTGCCAGGCAAAGAGTGGGGCTGCCCAGATTGATGAACTCCAGTTCCTTAGGGATGGAGCCTGTGGCAGCACAGGGGGACAGCCCAGGCCCGCAGGATGGAAGCTACAGCCCCCAGGAAGCCTTGGAACTGGCACTGTGTGACTGGGTGGCTGAGATAAACCGGCAAGCCTTGGAGCCAGGTAGGTGATGAACTCACACCGTGCAGCACCCACCAATACCTCAGTCCCTCTGGAACGGCTCTGCTGGGAGGTTGGTGGGTGCCAGAGCCCCGTGTCTTGGTGCTGTGGGTGCTGTGGGTGCTGTGGGTGTTGTGGGTGCTGTGGGTGCTGTGGGTGTTGTGGGTGCTGTGGGTGTTGTGGGTGCTGTGGGCGCTGTGGGCGTTGTGGGCGCTGTGGGCGCTGTGGGCGTTGTGGGTGCTGTGGGCGCTGTGGGCGTTGTGTGTGCTGTGGGTGTTGTGGGTGCTGTGGGTGCTGTGGGTGTGTGGGTGCTGTGGGTGCTGTGGGTGTTGTGGGTGCTGTGGGCGCTGTGGGTGCTGTGGGTGCTGTGGGTGTTGTGGGTGCTGTGGGTGCTGTGGGTGTTGTGGGTGCTGTGGGTGCTGTGGGTGTTGTGGGTGCTGTGGGTGTTGTGGGTGCTGTGGGTGCTGTGGGTGTTGTGGGTGCTGTGGGTGTTGTGGGTGCTGTGGGTGCTGTGGGTGTTGTGGGTGCTGTGGGTGTTGTGGGTGCTGTGTGTGCTGTGGGTGTTGTGGGTGCTGTGGGTGCTGTGGGTCCTGTGGCTGGTGCAGCAGCAGGTCTGTGCTCCGGGTGCCACATCCCATCTGGATGAGAGGGCCAAGCTCGGTGCTGTGCAGTGTTTGCCCCTGCAGAGCCTGTGGCCTCACCACCCCCAAGGCCTGGGCTCCCGAGCACAGAGCCATGCAAAGCCCATGATGCTGGGGGCTCAGAGGTGGAGCTGCCCAGCGTGCCCACCCCAGGGTGCTGCCCCACCGGCCGCAGCTTCTATGTGGGTGCCCCCGCTCCTTTCTGCCAGGAGCAAGGAGCCCGGGACATGCCAGCGTCAGCCTCAAGGGAGGAGCAGAGCTGGAGCCTGGCACAACGGGACGGGACATCCTGCCTGACCCCCGGCCCCTCGGCGCTGCTCCCGGTGGGACAGACCAGCACGGCCCCGAGCCCTGCGGCACGGCACCAGGGGAGGGGAGAAGGCAGGTGCCCGTGGAGCCCGAGCAGGACAGCGGGAGCAGGGCCCGTGCCGGTGGTCAGCAAAGCCCTGCCGGGGACAGGGAGCAGCTCACTGCGGGCAGCACAGGGAGCCGTGAGCCCGGCCCTGCCGTGCCCAGTGCGGCTCAGGCTCCCCAGCCCACAGGAGCGCCGGCGGCTGCCGAGACCCCCCCCAGCCCAGGGACCGCCGCGTGCTGCAGCGATGGGAGCAGCGCTGCCCAGAACCTTCTGCCCACCGGTGATGCCAGGACGGGGGCTGGCAGCTCCCACCAGCCCTGCAGCAGCAGCCAGCCTGAGCCCACTAGGGCTGATACAGCCCAGACACCCCCAGGGCCTGGGACCGGTGCCAGCCCTGTCCCCACAGCACTGCCCATTGATGGGACTGATGCCAGCCCTGGCCCCACAGCACTGACACCAGAGGAAGCCAGGTCCAGCCCCATGTCCTTTCTGATCATGGAGGAGCCCAGGTCCAGCCCCACAGCACCAGTGACCCTAGAGGAGCCCAGGTCCAGCCCCACAGCACCGGTGACCCTAGAGGAGCCCAGGTCCAGCCCCACAGCACCGGTGACCCTAGAGGAGCCCAGGTCCAGCCCCACAGCACCAGTGACCCTAGAGGAGCCCAGGTCCAGCCCCACAGCTCCATTGACCCCGGAGGAGCCCAGGTCCAGCCCCACAGCACCATTGATCCTAGAGGAGCCCAGGTCCAGCCCCACAGCTCCATTGACCCCAGAGGAGCCCAGGTCCATCCCCATGGCACCATTGACCCCGGAGGAGCCCAGGTCCAGCCCCATAGCACCAGTGACCCTAGAGGAGCCCAGGTCCAGCTCCACAGCACCGGTGACCCTAGAGGAGCCCAGGTCCAGCCCCACAGCACCAGTGACCCTAGAGGAGCCCAGGTCCAGCCCCACAGCGCCATTGACCCCGGAGGAGCCCAGGTCCAGCCCCACAGCACCATTGATCCTAGAGGAGCCCAGGTCCAGCCCCACAGCTCCAGTGACCCCAGAGGAGCCCAGGTCCATCCCCATGGCACCATTGACCCCGGAGGAGCCCAGGTCCAGTCCCACAGTACCATTGATCCTAGAGGAGCCCAGGTCCAGCCCCACAGCTCCATTGACCCCGGAGGAGCCCAGGTCCAGCCCCATGGCACCATTGACCCAGGAGGAGCCCAGGTCCAGCCCCATGGCACCATTGACCTCAGAGGAGCCCAGGTCCAGCCCCATGGCACCGCTGACTCTGGAGGAGGTTCGGATGGTGGTGGAGCTCTTCTACCTGCCCTATCATCATGGGCCGCTGGCACAGCGTCTGCTGGAGCACTTTCGGTGGCTCCGGGCAAACAGCCTCAGCGTGGGGGTCTCTGCCACGGCACCCGATGCCAGTGCGGTGAGTGCTGGGGCTGCCGCTTGCCACAGCACTGTGCCACAGCCGTGGTGACGCCCGCTGTGCCCGCAGGGCCGGTGCTGGCGTGGCCGAGCGCAGTCCTTCACGCGGCTCTGCGCCCAGACCTGTCGCCTGCACGCTCGCCTGGTGGGTGCTGCGGGGCGGGCGCTGCTCTACGACCTGCACCCCTACCTCTGGGACATCCGCAACGTGCTGCTGGCCTCCAGCGCCTTCGTCCAGTGGCTCGGTACGTGCTGCGGGTCTGCGGGGTCCCAGGCACTGCGGCACCGGAGCTTGTTCTGCGGTGCTCCACTGCTCCCCTTAGGGGTGACAGTGCCTGGGCTCCCCCAGAGGTTCGGGGTCCCTGTGTCCAGCTAGGGTCCTTCCTGGGGTGCACCTCCCATGGAGACCCTGTTCCCTGTCCCCTGGTCAGCTCCTCTCTTCCTTGCAGATGGTCATCTCCTCTGCGAGCCTGGCCCCACAGACGCATGGGGGAGCTGCTTTGGCTGTAAGTACCGGTGCTGCCTGGCTCTGCTCCTGGTGAGGGGTCCTGGTGCTGCCCTCGGGCCCCCCAAGTCCTGCAGCAGCAGCAGCACTCACCACTGAGCTGCCCTGTCCCATGCTCTGCCTGCCCAGTGCAGCCAGAATGGCCATGGGGAGGCTGGCACCCCCTGTGCCCTGCACACCAAGGCAACATGGGGCACTGCTGCTGGGGACAGGGCAGATATCGGAGCAGCTTTGCACCGCCTCTCATAGTCCTGAAGGAATGCCCATTTCTAGGACATGGCTCTTCAGCCCTTTGGATCCAAGGACCTCTCAGCCTTCCTGGTAAAAGGGATCCATGGGCTATTGGGAGCAGAAACGTCCTTGGTGTCATAGGCAAGGTTGGCTTTTGGATGCCCGGGCCTCACTTTGGAAGCCCCTGTCCTGCTGATTCAGGTGTTCCTGGGTGTTCTGTGGCCCTCGTGACCTCTTACAAACCAAGAGCTGTCACCAGGTGACAAACTCAGAGGGTCTCCAGTTCACTGTGGGATGGGGCCATGTGCCTCGAGCTGCTTCCACAGGGCAGCATGCCGGGCGAGCTCCCACAGGCACTGCAGGGCTGCCTGGGCAGCGGTACCCAGGAGCTGTCTTTACCTGACACGTTCATGGAGGCAAGATCATTCCCCATTCCCACACCGAGCCCTGTTGTGGAGGCTGTGCTGCACCCCAGTCATGGCGAGGTCCCTGGGCTGCACAGTGACCAGTGCGGATTGTGATGGTGCTGTGTGACGGAGGCTGAGCTCCCCCCAGCCCAGCAGGTTTCTCTTCACCTCCTGTGTCTGTTCCCTGCTGCCTCCAGGGTGCCAGAGCATCACAGCCCCGATCCTGCTGCGGGAGGATGCTGAGCCCTGGGCACGGCGCGGTGGCCTCTTTGGAGAGATGCAGGTGAGAGGATACCCATCACTGGGCGGGGGCTGGAGGAGCCTTGGGAAGCAGGACCCCAGCTGCTGCTCCTGGCGTGGCACTGAGTTACTGCAAGGGAAGGCAGAGCTGCCCTGGGCCTCTGCGCCTTGTCTGCAGCTCCCAGGGTCCAGGCTGCTCACAGGGACCCTCCTGCTGCTGCTCAGGGTGAGGTTTGGAGCCAGGACTCCCCCGGCACTGTCTCTTCCAGGCGCTGCTGCCCGTGGGGAACAGCTCTGACCTCTTCTATCAGCCACCTCCGCTCTTCCCGTCTCGCCGGCTGTACGCTCTGCGCCCGCTGCGGCCCCGGGACAAGGTGGGAGCTGCAGCACAAGGAGCAGCCACAGCTCAGCTCCGGGAGCCTGTGCTGCACGTGTCCCATGCGAGACGGGCTCACCCGCTGCGAGGGGGGCTGAGCTGCAGCTCGGGCTCTGAGGGTGGAAGGGACCTTCAAGCAGGCAGGGCTGGGGCAGGGCAGCCCCCAGGATGCAGAGCAGGTGTTGTGGCCAGGGCAGAGCAGGGAGACCCAGCTCAGGAGTGAGCCCCACTTGAGCTGGCTCCAACGTGGGATGCCAGGAATCTCAAGCGGTCCCCAGAGCACCCCCAGATCTGAGCTCCAGTGGTGGCTGCGAGCAGATGCCAGGGAAGATCCAGAGCAGGGCAGGTCTGGATGGTGACCGCCTGCAGCCTTCAGCAGCCTGCGGCTCTGGCACTGCCTGAGCCTGTTGAGGTTCAGCTCCCAATCAGTCCCTTCTTCAGATGCGCACCCAGTTGAGAGGATGATTCCCCGTTGGTGGGGCAGCAGCCCCTGTCAGCTGTGAGCAGCGCGCTGCCAGCCCCCTCGCCCCATTTCCATCCCCGCAGTTCGATGGCATGGTGAGGGAAAGGGAGAATGTGGAGGTGGGTGGGCATCCCGCTTCAACTGCTGCCGAGTGCAGCAGAGTGCTGGGCTCCCCAGGCAGCACAGAGCCGGCAGCAGCTCCCGGCTCCCTTGCCCTGCTGCTTCTGCCAGTGAAAGGAAATGCAATCGCTGCAAATCCAGAGTCATGGACACAAGCACAGGACCCGGCGGTGCTCAGCTGAGCTCTTGTGAACAGCAGAGGAGGAGCTGCCAGTGCAGGAGAGCAGACCACAGGAGCAGACTGCCCCTGTCAGCACGTCCCACTGCAAGAGCTTCCCCACTGCCTATTGTCAGATTTCATCTGACCAGGCTGAACTTCAACAGCCTGAATCTGTGTCCAGTGAAACGGAGGGGAAAAGTGCAGCTGAACTGCCCGTGGTGGGAATGGTGCTGGGAAGCACGCTCACTGTCCTGCTGTGTCGCACAGCGCTGGGGCAGCCCTTCCCTGGGGAAGCAGTGCTTCCATTGGGATGTGCCTTTCACTGGTCCTGTGAGCAGCAGCGATCTTGAGTCTGGCTGAGATAGGAGGTCCTGAGTTGTCCCATGTTGGGCATGCGCTGAGCAGACTCGAGTTCCAGTCCTGGTTTCGCTGCAGCTGTGAGCATGTTCCATCCCTGGCGAGCTGCGTTTTCATCAGCTGCTCCCCTGGGATGCCTGTCTGGAATGGCAGTTTCCCATTCTGAAGTGTTTCTGTGCTGGGATAAGCAGCCTCAGAGGCCAGCAGAAGGTGGTGCACTGTGCATCGCTGGGCGCAGAGCCCAGCACCCTTGGCTGCTGAGGCACGTACCTCCATATACCTGCCCCGGGTCAGGATGCGCTGGAGGGCTGGGCCCTGGTCACGGTCCCTCTCTCTGGTCAGCTTGGAAAGCTGAGGGCCCACGATGCTCTGTCGGGGGCTGTGGTGGGGCAGCAGAGGAGCAGCAGTGGGGAAGGGACCAGGCAGGCAGAGCCAGCGCTGAGCTGGATCTGACTCTTCCAGGGAGAGCTTTACCGCATGTGCCGGGAGAGTCTGGACTGTGACCCCAAAGTCACAGAGATCCTTGTGGCCCACCCCGACCTGCTCGGTGACAGGTAAGACATGGTCCCTCTGAGTGTGCCCAGCCCGGCCATGCCATGTGCTGGGTGGTGCTGGACTGTGGTGTGATGTGGTTGCCTCTTGCATCCCAGCAGGGCCCAGCTCTGCCTGCATCATGGCTGGCAGTGGCCTCACCTGGGAGAGCTACCCCTGTGCCAATGCCCAGATGGGTTGTGGGGATGGACCCGCTGCCATGGCTCCCCTTGGCTGGGGGCTTCGCCTGGGGGCTCAGGGATGTTCTGGGGTGGGGGATGCTGTCCCGCCAGGCAGGAGGGAGGAGTTTGGCTGCTCTGAGCTCTCCCCAGGGCAGGCTGGGCCCCAGTGGCAGCTCAGTGCAGCTTTGCTGTGGCCGCAGGCTGCTGGGCAGCTTCCTGAGCCTGAGCCCCGAGTACACCTTTGTGCTGGAGGATGAGGCTGGTCCCTGTGGCTATGCTGCCGGCGTGCTCTGCGCTGAAGGCTTCCTGCAGCAGCGAGACAGCGGCTGGCTGCCGGCCATGCGACACAAGTACCCCCGGGACCTGGCTGCAGGAGCCCCAGCGCTGGGCAAGGTGAGGGAGCTGCTGGAGCGGGAGTGAGCGGGTTTGGGATGGGGGCCCCTCAAGGTGCTTGTCTCCCGCAGGATGCCCTGGAGGAAGCACTGCTCTTCTTCCACACAGAGCCAGCGACAGTGCCCCTGCCTGTGCTGCGGCGGTTCCCCTCCCTGGTGCAGCTGGGCACAGCCGCCCGCATGCTGGATGTGGGGGCCAGCCACAGCCTGGCCCTCTGCCTGCTGAGCGCGCTCAGGGCCAACGGTGAGCATCCCCTCGTGTGCCTTCATCCAACCCCATCCCCACTGCTCCCTGGCCCACCCCGGAACCGGGAGCTGGCCCTGCCTGCACCCCACCGGGGTGCCCCCACCAGGTCTCCCCATCCCCTCAGTGACACAGTCTGGCCCCAGGCACCATGCCCCCCCCTTGCACCAAGGGACCTGTGCCTTGGGGCATCACACAGGCACGCAGAGCAGAGGGGCAGTGCAGAAGTTGACCTTCTTATGGAGGGGGACCCAGTCACTGGCCTCTAGTGCTGGGATCCTGGTGCCAGGGGCCTGATCCCACACCTCCCTTCCAGGGTCGCGGGGAGTGTTTTGCCAGGTCAGTGCCACCGACCAGCAGCAGCTGAGCTTCTACAGCAAGCTGGGCTTCATCGCTCTGCCAGTGGCCTGGGACAGTTGTCCTGGTGCTCGGCTCCTGGGACGTCTCCTCTGAGCACCCTGCACTGGGTGTGGGTGTGGGGAGGCAGTGCCGGAGACAGGCTGATACCCGTCCCGCACACAGGGAGCAGGAGCAGAGGGGCACCTTGATCAGAGCAGGTACATGCGATGGGGACATGGCTCGGGGAGGAGCAGGAAGTCACAGGGATTCATGCAGGGGACAGTCCTCAGGCGACAGAGGCATTTCTGCTATCTCAGGAGAGAGGCATCAGGGCCCCTGCACTCTCCCCCAGCTGTTCCTGCTTGCTGAGTGCCCTCCACCACTGCTGGGGAGCCAGCAACATCCCTGGGCTGGCTGCAGACCTCCAGGCCTGGAAGGAGCCACCTGGCCAGCATTTAGGGTGGTGGTCTGGGAGCGTGGCACAGTGCATTAGTGTGCAAGGAGCGTCCCTGTCCCGCAGGCTGGGCTGTCCAGATCGCTCCATCCCCGATGTGGCCCTAAGCTGGGTAGCTGGGGCTGGGGCTGGCCCTCGGCATCGAGCATCTTCCTGCCTGTATCTTCCCGACCTGTATGGGACAGTGAGGCAGCCTCCATCTCTGCCACCTGGGGGCTGAGGGAAGCGTTGTCCGTGGCAATAAAGCATTTGCTGGGCTCTCACCATGGTTTGTCTCCTGGGCGAAACAATCAGGGTATCAGCATGTCCCGATCACACCCTCATCCCGACCCCTCAGCCAGCCCTGGCTGTCAGCCTCACCCCTGCTGTCGCTGTATCTGGTCCTGTGCAGCCTCAAACGAAGCAGCTCCCCCACATCCACCTCTCCAGGCACTCACCAGCTCTTGGCCTCCGCTGGCAACATACAGGTGGTTGGGACTGGATGAGCTTAAGGCCCTTGCAACCCAAACCAGTCTGGGGTCCTGGGACCCCGCTGCAGCCTCTGGAAGAGTGTTGGGAGGGAGAGATGGAAGGATCAATCCATCACTGACGCTTTCTCTTCCGTGCCCCAGCCACAGAAGTGAGGAGGAGGCTGGGGCAGCGGTGCCCAAGAGACCGGAGCGGGGGGCTCTCGTCCAGCCCGGCCCGGCCCCGCGCTGCCGTGGGTACGGGGCTGGGCAGGCGCTCGGTGCTCCCGGGCTGGGTCCCAGTGCCCACGGCTACGCGGGTGGGACGGCAGCGGGGGGCCGCTCCGTGGCCGGGCGGGGCTGTCTGGAGGAGGGACCCGCAGCGGGCAGGCCCCCCCCCGGGCTCCGTCCCGGGCCTGGCGCCGTGCCCAGCAGGGCCGGGGGCCCCATCCCGGGGCCGGGGGCGCGGGGCCCGTCTTCGCTGTACCGGCAGCGGGGCCGCTGGCGCGGGCCAGCCCCGGACACTTGGGCACGGCGCGGGGCGGGCCGGGGCGGAGAGGGGCGGCACGGCTCGGCTCGGCTCGGCTCAGCAGAGCTCGGCTCGGCTCAGCTGGACGCTCTCGCTCTGCGCTGCCGGAGCCGCGCATCCCGCGGGGACCAGAGGTACCGCATGGGACAGCCGAGCGGGGGCGGCGCCGGCGGGGAGCGTGGCTCGGACCGGCGCGGCTCCATCCCGGCTCCGTCCCGGCACGTCCCGTCAGCGGCGGGGCTGGGTGCGGCGGGGCGGGCCCGGCCGCGGCGGCAGCGGGGACCGGTGGGGCCGCGGGGGACGGGCGGGAGCGGGGGCCGCTGTGCGGTGGTTGTGCCGCCGCCGACGGGGCAGGAGCGGCGGCGGGGGGGCCGTTGGCAGTGGCTGCCGTGCTGTGCTGGGGCTGCAGGGGCGTGCTTCAGGAAGCCCGGCGGTGGGAGATGGGAGCGTGTGATGCCGCGTGTCCCGCGGGGCAGGCTGCGGGTGCGGGTGCGGGCAGTGCAGGCAGCGATGCGGGAAGAGGTGCCCGCAGACCCGGCCGTTTGGGGGTGCCCCATTGGGTCTGTGCAGCCACACTGCATCCCCACGTGCGGGCTTCGGCTGGCTGTTCCGAGCTGTGGTTTGCAAAGGGCGGTGCACGCTCAGGGTGTCCATGAAGATGGAATTTACTGTAGCCCTTGGAAGAGAGAACGGATGAAGGGGTGTGAGGCACGGGGCTGAGGGGACATCATCACTTGGCTGCTGGCCATGAATCTTCCCAGCAGCTCCCCAGAGGAGCAGGCAGGTCACCTATCTCCCAGTAGCTCCAAGTTTGGTGCCTCTCTGCTCCAGGGTGCCTGGGACCCCCCAGCCCCGCCGCCTGCTGATGGCTGCAGCCTCTGCACATTCCTCAGGGTCTTTCCTTCCTGCCTGCAGCTGATTCCTGACAGGGCTGCCCCTTCAGAGCCGCGGGGCTCTGGGCAGAGCCGAGCACCGTGGTGTGTCCTGGGGAATCTGGGTGGTGCTGGGAATTGCAGGGAGCTGTCCTGTGACCTGCTCTGGGTTGGAGGGTGACAGCAGGACAGGGGGGCACCAGGACACCCAGTGAGGCTGGACCCAGAGTCAGCAGGGAAGGGCACATCCGTGTGTGCTGCATGCTCTGCACACCCTGGAGAGTCCCAGGCGCCAGGGTGTGCTGCCCGCAGCAGTATCTCTGTCACTGCCGGGGTGCTGGGAGGTGTCGCGAAGCCTGCCAGGATGGCCAAGCTCCTGTGGTGGCCCTGGGCTTCTCCCCAGTGCCTCTGGGACCAGTTCATCTGTAGGGCCCTGTGACCCTCCAGCTGCTGGCTGTTGCTCACCCCAGAGCTCTGATCCCATGGGATCCCTGTAGGCAGGGATTATGGGGGGTCCCCCAACTCATGCACACACACTCCCAGCATCCCAGTGCTGCTGGGAAGCAGGAAGAGTGAACCAGGCCTGTCCCGGCAGCTGGGATTACGCAAGGGCCAGAGCTGGGCTCTGCATCGAAGGCCCTAGGGAGAAAGGGAGGGATGGAGCCCAGTGCCTGAAGCCATGGGACCCACCAGACCTTCTCCTGCCCTAAGCGCTGGGGACATGACCCCATGCTCTCAGGGATGTCCTGGCGCAGGCCTCGGCAGAGTGTGACCGTGTCACCCCTTCCCCTTCCCAAGGAAGGATAAACAGAGGGAGTTTCTTCCTCCTTGCGCTGGCGGGTTTCCCAGGTCTTCGCTTGCTTGTGCTGCTCTTCTGAGTCCTCCCAGTTGTCAATTTCGGGGCTGCTCCATGTCCCCGTGTGTCCAGGGCTGGGGCTGGGAGAGCACATTCCTGTGGGGTCAGCCATAGCCTGGCCCTTCCTGCTGCAGCAGCCTGGGATATTGTCCCTGTACACGGGGATGCCCCATGTTTGGCTACCCTAACACATGCAGATCCAACATGCTTACTTGCCAGGGCCCCGGTCATCAGGAGCTGCCTCTTCCTGAGGTCTGTCTGGGAACGGCAGCCCCCGTGCGAGATGCAGTCGGGGGAGCAGAGCTCTCATGCTCCAGCACCAGCAGCTCCGCAGGCAGGAGGTGGTTTGGGGCCCTGCGCGCGCCCGGCCGGGACATTCCTGAGGTTTCCTGGGCAGTGGGGAGGACCCGAGCTGCTCTCCCGCTCCCACGCCCAGCGTCTGCTCCAGGCCAGCCCGTCCTCCTGAGCCCTTTCCACTTGCAGCGCCAGGGCAGCCACGTTCGGCGCGGCGCAGCCCGGCAGCCGCCCTACTCCCAGAGGAGACTGGGCTGGAGCTGGCAGCGGGGCGGCCGATGCCGGGGCAGGACCGTGCCCAGCTCCTGCCCAAGGCGCGCGGCGGCAGCAGCCGGGGGACATGCTTGAACACCCCGTCCCTGTCCCAGGCAATTCCTGGCCCCCTGCCCCATCCACATGTGCTGTCTGTCCATGCGCAGGCTGGCTGCACCTATGCCTTTCGCCCTCTCCAGGGGTGCATGTGCAGGAGATTCCTGCTCCTCTGAAAGCACCAGCCCATCAGCTGTCCCATGTGTCGATGGGCTGGGAGCTGCTGCCCTTGTGCTCAGCAGGAATAGCTCGTGCAGGCTGGCAAAGGGGTGCGCCTCTCCCCTTGCCAGAGGTGGGGAGGAAAGGGGAACCCCCGCCTTGGGTCTCTGGTGCTGGGTGATCAGCCCCTGCAGCGTGGAGGGACCCCCAGCCACAGAGCCCCAGCCCCGGCACAGGCTTTGTGGCAGGCGGCAGGACTGTGGTCCCCCGATACTGTCCCTCCAGCTGGAGTGAAGGGACCGCAGCCTGAAACCGGGATTTGCTGCGCACGAATCATCCCCATCTGCACCGCTGCAGCTCCCCGGGACGGCCCCGCGGGGCTGGGGTGTCCCCGTCCCCCATCCCGGAGAGCGGCGGCAGCGAAGCAGGAAGCCGGGAGCAGAGCAAAGCGCTGGAAAAAGTGATGTGGACAAGGAGAGCCCTGTCAGCCCGAGGTGCCCGGGACGTGGCTGCCGAGCACGTTCGGAGCTAGTACAGGAACAGGGAAAGGGCTTGTGCCGTGCCCCTGGGAGCACGCACTGCTAGCCCGGCAGCCGCCTGGGGTGGATATGGGGAGTGCTGGTGCCCCCAGCAGGCATTTCACTGAGAAATGAGTGACAGGAGGTGAGGACGGGCTGAGCTGCGAGGGCGGGGGAAGAGCAGTCGGGATGAGGGATGCTGGTGCCTTAGCAGAGGAAAGCCAGGACCAGGAGCGGGGTGCTGAGGGTGGCAGCAAGCTGGGGTTAGTGCAGGGATGGAAGCGGAAGTCTGGGCAGGTTCTAGAGCAACTGAAGGTCTGTGAGGAAGAGAAATCCACGGTGGCATTTAAACACAGAGGCTGAGGTTGCTGAGCTGAGGCTCCATGGGGACTTGGTGCTTTGCTGTGCAAAGCCATGTTGTGATCTCTGGTGCCATGTTCTGGTCTCTGGTCCTACATGTTTTGCTCCTAAATGCACGAGCTTAAATCTTCCTTGCAGTCTAGGCTATAGGCTACATGATGCCATCTTCCCAGGCTGTTCAGGTCTGTCCTCATCACAGTTCTGCATGATCCTGCCCATTTCTGCCTTTGCAGACTGAACCAGGAGAGGACCTTTTCCTCCTCCAGACATGGTTTTGCTTTGGAAAGCATGTGATCCTCCCCAGAAAGCTCACTGAGGGGTGACTCCCCTGCTGAAACCACATTTTGGTTCCAGCAGGTGACCAGTTTTAATCCACTTAGCAGATGTGTGCTGGTTCTGTTGAGTGCTAATTATTTATTAAAGGCTGGTGCAAGGTGAATTGAGCACATTCCAGTCTCAGCCTGGAATCAGCACAGTTACTCCAATTAACCAAACCTGTGATCTCAGAAAAGGTCAAACCAGCTTCCTGACATGGGCCATCTCTGCAGAGCTGTGGAGACTGGCACCAGTTGTGCTGCTGCATGGACACGCTGCAACCCAGCCTGGAGCCGGCCTGCGCTGCGTATCTGCAGAGGTCACCTCTTTCAGTGCAAGTGCTGGAGAAGCTTCAGTCCTTCTGTGCTTGTGGTTTCCTCGGTCTCAAGTCAGCACTGGGAGGGCTCAAATTTGTGTTACGCAGTGGTAGGGCTCTGTGGGTTTATAATGCTTCACGTGGGCAGGGGGACCTCCCCTTGGTGACCGTGGGGTGGAATAAGAAGTGTTTTAGCACTTCTGTGATGTGGGAAGCTCATCCCTTTGCTGCTTTCCAGACAGAGCAGAGATGTGGATGGAGCATTCCTGCCCCTGGCAAGCCCATGGACCTGTGTCCTGAGCTGCTGGCAGGGCTGGGGTGGCCCTTTGCGCTCCCTCCTCCTCCTCCTGCCATAACAAGCTGATTAAAAGGTTCAGCACAGCATTTCCCTGCTGCCTGCCCACAAAGCTGCTTCCCGCTGTTATGTTCCCACAGTGCCAGTGCACGCAGCTGAGGTGCAGGGAGCCCAGCGATAGGGCACGTCCCTGCCTGCTGCTGGCTCCACTGTGATGTCCCCATGCCCCAGGCTGTGACAGGGGAGAGACCCATGACTGGGCTGACGTGGTTGCCCTGAGGGGCTTTGTGCTTTCCACCAAAATGTCTCCCATTGGCCTGGACTGTGTTGTTGGTCCCTGTTACCTCTCACCCTCTCTCCCTGAGCATCCCTGCAGGCACCGGGCACTCAGCCCAAGGGACTCACTGCTCTTGGTGGCATCTCCAAAGCGGTGCATGCTTTACAGGCCAGGTGACCCGGCCTCCATCATCTGGAAAAGTGAACAGAGCAGGAATGGGGCTGATTCCTGCTTGTGGAGTCTCTGTGGAGTCTGAGTGGGGCTTCTCAGCACCTTTGCTCCACAAGGACCCTTGTTTCCTCCTCTCTAACACTGTCTAATGACAAGCACAGGCTGCGAGTGCAGAATGCAGGATCTGCTCTTGGTTGGGGATGTGGGGCACGGAGATGTATTTCTGCTGGTCCTGTCCTGAGGGGCTCCCACGTTTGGGGTCGCTTTCCCACCTGTAGAAGGGACATCTGGAAGGGTGATGTGAGGCTGTAGTGGTGAAGGCAGGCAGGTCCGTGTGTGGGCAGTGCTGGGTGAGCATTAAAGCTTTGCCGTCGGGCCCAGAGCCCAGCCTGGAGAGAGCTCACACTGCCCGTGCAGAAATGCTGCAGCAGCATCTGCAGGGTTAAAGTGGTCCCTGACGGATAAATGGGAATTGTGCACTGGGAACTGGGAACTAAAGGAGGTTCACAGAGAAGTGTTTTCACTACTGTTTGCCACTGGACTGGTGCGGGAATACCACACCTCCCTCAGGTATTTCGGGAGCCACACATGTTATTGGAGGGCTGGAGAATGCTGCCCAGAGCAGAACGGGGAAGGCTCCGGCTGCAGCTCCTCGGAGTGGGCAGCAGCTTGGGCTGGCAGCGCTGCACCGCATGGGGTGGGTGCAGCTCCCGGCTGGTCCAGCTGGGCTTTCCTGGGTGCTGGTCCTGCTCCAGGGCCCTTTGGCACAGGAGATGTGACCCAGCAGCGCGGTGGGATTCCGGTAGGAGCCATTTGAGAGGAGTGCAGGGTGTGGGGATGGCAGAGCCTGGGCGATAGCAGCTCTGGGGTGCAGGGAGGCACTGGTGAGAGCGGGCTGGGGGCTACAACCGGCACAGGTGGGATGAGGGCAGCAGGTGATGCGACACAGCTCGTGCATCCCACGCACCCCGACCCCTCCTGCCCCTGCAGAGCCTGGCTGCCATGGGGAGCTGCCGCACGTGGGCACCGCCGGAGCTGCTGGTGCTGAGCGTGTGGCTGTGGGTGAGCAGCGCCGGCCCCACGCACCCACCCGGCCCCGCGCTAAGGGTGCGCCTGGCTGGGTACCCACGCAAGCACAACGAGGGCCGCGTGGAGCTCTTCTACAACGACGAGTGGGGCACCATCTGCGATGACGACTTCACACTGGCCAATGCACACGTGCTGTGCCGGCACCTCGGCTTCGTGGCTGCCACCGGCTGGGCCCACAGCGCCAAGTACGGCAAAGGAGTCGGTAAGAGCGGGGCGGTGGTCATGGTTTCCCATGCTGCACGGGCTGGGGCTGCACATGAGCGGCTGCCACAGGGCTGTGTGTGTGCCACAGGGCTCACATGAGCTGTTGGTGGGGAAGGGCAGGCAGGTCCTGCGTGTGCTGAGTGCCCAGGAGTGTGTGAGTGCATGCGTGAGTGCATGTGTAGATGTATGTACACACAAAGCAGGATGGGGAGCTGCGTCTGAGCTGCTGTGCATGTACCCAGGGCACAGGGCGGCTGCAGGCATGCGCTGGAGCTGCAGGGCTGCACATGGTGCTGGGTGGTGCAGAGGGTGCAGGTCCAGGTCTGTGTGGTGCAGAGGTACAGCCGTTCCTGCTGCAGGCGAGACACTGTACAGAGCCCGGGGGTGTACCACGGGGGCTTTGTGTCTGCAGAGCAGCCCCCTGGGGAAGCAGAACCTCCCCATCTGCAGGTCCCCCTCTCAGGGCTTTACTTTGGGCATTTCACCAGCCTCAGCTTCATGCTGAGGGAGCGATGGTCCCAGCCCAGCAGCCCCAAGCAGCCCCCAGCAGCCATGCTCTGCTGTACTCCTTGGCCATGCTCCATGGGCACCCTCCCTGCTCCCGGGGGATGCTGCATGGGCCTGGCCCCCTCACCCCGGCCCTGCTGCCTGGCAGGGCGGATCTGGCTGGACAATGTGAATTGTGCCGGAGGGGAGAAGAGCATCGGGGACTGCAAACACCGGGGCTGGGGCAACAGCGACTGCAGCCATGAGGAAGACGCGGGGGTCATCTGCAAGGACGAGCGCATCCCAGGCTTCAAGGACTCCAATGTCATCGAGGTGAGGAAGCTGTGGGCCAGGACCCTCAGAGCCAGGAGGATGTAGCCTGGGTGTGGGGACGTGGCACAGCTCTGGGCAGGGGATGCCTGGTCTGCTGCCAGGCAAGAGGCGCTGGGGCCGTGTCCCACTGGCTGTGCCCAGGTTCCCGGTTCCCTCTGGGTGGGTGTCTGGGTGTGGGGTGGATGCAGGATCCTGAGGTGAGAGGGCGCTCCCAGGGAGACGTGGGACACTAGCTGCACAGTGTGGGAGCAGGAGCGTGGCCATCCAAGGCCATTGGATGTGCCCTGCAGGGATGCAGGACCTGGCCGTCCCCATTCCCCACCTGGGGCCGGGGACCCCATCTCCTGCGGGTGCACCCCGGGCAGGGGCTGGGGCGATGGGTGCGGTGCTGACCCGTGCCCTGCAGATGGAGCAGAGCCACGTGGAGGAGGTGCGGCTGCGGGCGGTGGTGGTCGGCGCCCGGCGGCAGCTCCCAGTGACAGAGGGCATCGTGGAGGTGCGCTACAAGGACGGCTGGGCACAGATCTGCGACGAGGGCTGGAGCAGCCACAACAGCCGCGTGGTCTGCGGCATGCTGGGCTTCCCTGCCGAGAAGAAGGTCAACAGGAACTTCTACAAGTGAGTGAGGCTGACAAGGAGCCCGCGGGGCTGGGGGCAGTGCCAGGGACATGGGGCAGTGCTGGGGGACAGCAGGGGCCAGTTGGCCATAGGGGCACTCGCTAACCGAGCTGGGGGCCATGGCGTGGCTGGGGGCCATGGCTGCCCATCTGCCCATGCATTGCAGCAGAGGCTGCTCCCAGAGGGCAGTGTCTGTGCCCTGGCAGAGCTGCACCTCTGCAGTTCTTCCAGTGTGGAGCGTGGGGGTCCATGTCCACAGGGGAGGTTTGCAGCCGAGCTGCGGAGGGATGCTCCAGAACCACCATGGTCTGAGCAAGAGCTACAGGGATATGGGCAAGGACACAGCGCCCATTGTGTTGCCCATTGCAGTGCCCATTCTGGTGCCCAGTGTGGTGCCCATTGTGATGCCCAGCATAGTGTCCAGTGTGGTGCCAGTTGTGGTGCCCGTTGTGGTGCCCATTATAGTGCCCGTTGTGGTGCCCATTGTAGTGCCAGTTGTGGTGCCCATCGTGGTGCCCATTCTGGTGCCAGTTGTGGTGCCCGTTGTGGTGCCCATTATAGTGCCCATTGTGGTGCCCGTTGTGGTGCCCATTGTAGTGCCAGTTGTGGTGCCCATTATAGTGCCCATTGTAGTGCCCGTTGTGGTGCCCATTATAGTGCCAGTTGTGGTGCCCATCGTGGTGCCCATTCTGGTGCCCGTTGTGGTGCCCATTATAGTGCCCATTGTGGTGCCCATCGTGCTGCCCATCGTGGTGTCCACTGAAGTGCCCATTGTGGTGCCCATCGTGGTGCCCATTGTGATGCCCGTTGTGGTGCACTGACCAGGCAGCTCCAGTATTGCTCCTGCAGGCGGGTGAAGCGCGCAGCCGTGACAAGGGGCCGGAGGCTGAGGCCAGGCAGGAGGTAACGGCTGGGGCACCCCTCTGCCGAGCCCTTGGCAGAGCTGGGCTGTGCGGCCACGTGGGTCCCTGCCGTCGGGACGGATCCTGGCACAAAGGGATCTGGAGGGAGCAGACCGAGGGCTCGGGCAGCGCTGGGCAGGTGCTGCGGTCCCCAGCCCCCAGGAGGGATGATCTGGCTCCCAGGCCAGCTGAGCCTCAGGCTCTGCAGCACCCGCCCCGTGCACCAGGCAGGAGCCCTGGCACAGGGTCAGGATCCTTGGCAGGATCCCTGGAGGTGCAGAGGGCTGCGGAGTCCTGTGCGGGAGGCCTCGGAGTGGAGCTGTTTTTCCCGGCGGATGGGGAGGGCTGTGGACATGGGCTGCCCTCTGCAGAAAGCAGCAGTGCGGAAGCTGGAACGGCCGTACAGCCTCCATTGCTTGCAGGGGGGGCTGGCAGCACTGCTGAGCAAGTGCTGGACACCAGGGTGATGAGCACCACAGTGCTAGCAATGCCGGCACCCATGTGGCAGCTCTTGTCCTGGGTGCTCCATCTGCTCGGGTTCTCTTGCACCTTTGCCCATTCCCTCTTCCTGCCTTCCTACCAACCCCAGGGAATAGGCTGACTGCCCTTTTCCTTCCACCAAGAAACCTGGAGAGGGGCTTGGGACAAGGGCCTGTAGGGATAGGCCAAGGGGAATGGCTTTAAGCTGCCAGAGGGGAGACTGAGATGAGCTCTTAGGAAGAAGCTCTTCCCTGGGAGGGTGCAGAGCAGCTGTGGCTGCCCCATCCCTGGCAGTGTTCAAGGCCAGGTTGGACACAGGGGCTTGGAGCAAGCTGCTCCAGTGGAAGGTGTCCCTGCCCGTGGCAGGGGTTGGAACTGGAGGAGCTTTAAGGTCCCTTCAACCAAAAACCAGGCTGGGGTTCTATGGTTTGGTGCTGAGAGCCCCTTTCCAAGTGAGGAGGTATTTTCCCTGCAGCACTGGGTGCAGTGCTTTGCCAAGTCCATGGAGCTGGGGTCTTCTCCCTTCCTCTGCCTGGAGCAGGAGCTGTCTCCTCAACATCACACCCTGGTTTGCCAGGGCTGGCTGATTTCAGCTGCAGTCATATATGGGGTCACCCGCTAATCTAGGCTGGAAGGGACCTCAGGGAGTCCTGGTCTAACCCCCTGCACAGAGCAGGGATGGCTGAGGGTCAGCCCAGGGCTTCATGCAGATGGCTCTTGAAAACCTCTGGGCTCATAGGGTAAAACCATTCCTTCCACTGATCCTGAGCCTCGGGTTGCACCTCTTCTCTCATGCTCTTCGCTCCTCTGACCAGAAGAGCTGGGCTCTGGCTCCATCACAGCCCTTTGCTCCCGGCTCCTGGCTGTTGCTGGAGCTCCTGAGGCCATCTCAGCCCAGGCTGGAGCAGCCCCGTGCCCCTGGCTCCCCGCCGGCCCCGACTGCCTCAGGGGCTCTCCCCAGCGCCTGCACTGCAGGCCTGGTGCCTTGTACTGGGAGCCAGAGCCAGGTGCAGGATTGCACTGTGGTCCCATGGGTGTCAGTGGGGGGTGATGTCCTCCAGCCGACTGCTGAGCCCCATTTCCTGGCAGCCCCATGCAGTGCCCTAGGGCTCACTGCCACAAACCTGCCACCGGCCAGTGGGGTCAGTTGCCAGCCTTGGGTTTACTGTGTCCTGGGGGTACCAGTCCCTGCCCTCGTTTGGGGTCTGCTCTTTACTCCTCGTGGTGTCAGGGTTTTGGTCCTGCTCAGCTTCTTCCTCTCTGAATGAAGCAAAACATTTGAGTGTGCAGGGACAGCGTGTGGTGCCCTGGGCAGCCTCCTCTCCCTGTAGGGAAGCTCACTCGCTGGCAGAGGGCCCTTGCATGCCTGTCACAAGCCCCGCCATGTCCTGCACTGGGCAGAGCTCTGGTTTCAATGCTGCTTGCTCAGTGCTGTGCTTCTGCGCGTGCTGCTCCCCTGGAGCAGGGTGCAGTGACAGTGGCTGGGGTCTGCACGAGGACATGGGAGACCTCGCTTGTACCCCACAGATGAGATCGCTGGTGCTGGTGTTTGATCTGCTGTGTCACAAAGCAGCACGGGATGTTGCAGCATCTTGCACAGTTTCCTGGTGGGATGTGGGCAGGAAACTGCATCATTGCTGTGAAGGGCAGTTGTGTCTCGTTGCTGGCAGCAGATGATGCTGCTGCACCTATGTGTGACACAAAGGGGACACGCGCATGAGTCTCCCTGGGGGCAGCAGACCCAGTTTCAGTGACAGCCAGGGCCGCGGTGTGCTCCCTGTGTCCCTGCGGAGGTGACAGCCCGGGGCTGCGGGCTCCGTGACGGTTGTGTTCTGTTTTCCAGGCTGGCCTCCAAATCTCAGCCTAAACAAAAGCGCAGGGAGGACGTAGGGTCCAAGAAGAGGTAAATGGCTCCAGCGGGAGCCTGAGTGCCAGGAGCGCCGCTCAGTCCCTCCAGAGCCGAGCGCGTCTCTGGGGATGTGGGGCAGGCGCAGCGCGGGCACAGGGGGACCGCGCCAGGGCCGGGGACAGCTCCGCTGCCGTCCGTCCGCGCCGGTCCCGCCTCAGGGCTGCCCTCTCTCTCCGCAGGCTGTTCGCAGAGCGGCAGCAGCTCAGCTACCGGCTGCACTCGGTGTCGTGCGCGGGGACCGAGGGGCACCTCTCCATGTGCGCCTTCGAGTTTTACCGCGGCAACGCCTCCGCCGCCTGCGGCGCGGGCAGCCCCGCCGTCGTCAGCTGCGTGCCCGGCCCGCAGTTCGCCGCCGGCAGCTCCCACAAGAAGAAGCAGCGGCAGCAGCAGCAGCAGCAGGGCCAGGTGAGCCCCGTGGAGAGGGGACGGGCACCCACAGCCACCCCCGGCTTGACACTGCCCCACTGCGGGGCCGTGGGTGTGCGGGAACCGTGGGGACCAACCTGTGGAGTAGGGTACGGGGACCGTGTCCTGTCCCTGCACAACACAGCGTCATGGCCAGCAACCTCTGTGCTGCACGGTGCTGTGCCACACTGTGCCGTTCAGCACTGCGCCAGCCATGCTGTCCCCTGGGTCCAGAGAAGGGCAACGGAGCTGGTGCAGGGCCTGGAGCACAGGGGTGATGGGGAACGGCTGAGGGACCGGGGGGGGTTCAGTGTGGAGAAGAGAAGGCTCAGGGAGGACCTGATGGCTCCCTACAAGTGCCTGACAGGAGGATGGAGCCAGGAGGGGCTGGGCTCTGCTCCCAAGGAACAAGGGATGGGACAAGAGGAAAGGGCCTCAAGCTGCCCCAGGGCAGGTTTAGATGGAGCTGAGGAACAATTCCTGCCCCAGAGGGTGCTCAGGCATTGGAACAGGCTGCCCAGGGCAGGGCTGCAGGCACCGGCCCTCCAAGTGTTCACACTGCGTGGAGACGAGGCCTCAGTGCCATGGGGCAGTGGTGGCCTTGGCAGGGCTGGGAACGGTTGGACTGGGTGATCCTGAAGCTCCTTCCCCCCTGGTTGATTCCATGGGTCAATCATGTGATGGCTCCATCCCCTGCAGCCACGGATCCGGCTGAAGGGGGGTGCGAAGGTCGGGGAGGGCCGCGTCGAGGTGCTCAAGGGCAGTGAGTGGGGCACGATCTGTGATGACCGCTGGAACCTGCTGTCAGCCAGCGTGGTGTGCCGCGAGCTGGGCTTCGGCAGCGCCAAGGAGGCCCTCACCGGGGCGCGCATGGGCCAAGGTGAGGTGTGGGCTGCAGGGGCCGGGCGCTGCTCTCAGGGGCCTGTGGGTGAGGTGCGTGTCCAGGGACAAGGCTCTGCGGGACTGGGACAGGCCACAGCAGGGCTCGTCCTGCGAGTCCCTGGCTGCCAGCCGCATGCGGAGCATCCCCAGGGACCCGCAGCCTCTCCGTGGCGCTGGAGGGCCACGGCTGTGCCCGTGGCGCTGTCCCTGAGCCCTGCTGCCCCCCCA